ACAGCGCAAATGCAGCTGGACGTGGTTACGCGCATTAAAAAGATGACTGTAGTTTTACCGATACTGGCAATAGGCCGATAATGATATTGCATGTAAAAATAAGTGGTAGCACGGTGAAATTTCCAAATATGACGCAACTCGCTGGTCTTGGGGAGTGTTCATCCAGGATGCACTTATTTGACCACGGTGATTTTGAGCAAACACAATTTTACAATAGCTTTGGTTGCTGAATCAGGTTCATTCACGAGCTCTGGAAACCTGGCCAGTGTGTCAGCTGATGACTTTTCAGTTTGTTGCTGACTTCCGGAGAGAAACTGCTGTTTCATCCACTTTTTAAGGACAAGTCAGCTGTTCCCATTTACACATCATCATCATCATCATCATCGTTGTCAGCTGTAATAACCGCGTACTTGTCGTGCAGTCGTTGTGTCTGCCACAGTTTCGTTCACCGATGATTCGGGGAGTCGGGGTAGATAGCTGAGCTTGGAGGCGGGAGCCGATAAATTAGTGCGTGAATACAGCACTGTAGATGGAATGTTAAGTGAGGGGATAGGAAAGGGAGCTATGCATTGAAGTCAGTGGCTTGGATGCATGAGTGCCAAATGATTCATTCACCCACCGACTGACTATGTGAATTTACGGTGTGTTAACACATTCGGTATTGCTAGGAGATCATCAGATAGAAATTTCACTTACTGAAATGTAGCTGTAGGTTTGACACAGGTCTTTTTCTTGAGTGATGGGGCTATCTCGGACAGTTATCCGTTTGACCGCGGAAATTCTTGACCTAACAAGATTGGTAGGATTTCACGGACAACTTCAACGTGAACATTTCAAGGTGGCCTTTGGGAAATAGAGAGAGTGAATATAAAGCAGTTATAATGACTACCAGGAAGAAGGTCTTCACTGCGGAGATATTTATTGGAAAATGCCAACTGAACAGCTACAGACTATTGGACAGGAAAGGGAAGCTCTCATATGCCTCTTGTTTACAAAAACTTAATATCCATCCTCGCCGTGAACGCGTCTCCCCAAACGTTCCTGGGTATTCATTCACCGTGGCTCAAATCAGTGCTCAAAGCAAATGTTACAAAGCTACTCCACAAATTCCGAAACAGATCTCCCTTTTTAAAGAGACGCAGAACGAAATTCTAAAAACAACACATACTACTCGCATGCCTCCCCTTACTAGTATCACCGTTGCACCAGTAGTGTGGTCGAAAACGTGAGACTGGAACGGCAATGAAGTATCCATGTTCCACTCCTGTACACATGAAAAAAAAATTTGCAGCAGGTTAGCAAGCAAATTTGCTTTTGCGAGAGACTCATCTGGAACCCAGCTGAATCTCTCGTTTGTGATGCTTCTAGACAAATGAATGTGCTGCACCAGGCCGTCTCATGTTTCAGTTGCTACGATGTTCGAGATATCGCGATACATATATATTCCTAACGCACTACTGACAAGGTTGCTGAAAATCCGTCGACAGCCCAGGACCGGTTTCGCCCTTCTTGGGGTTCATCAGGTAGGCGCAGTCCCCAAGTTTCGCTAAGTTCGTGTAATTTAGTTCCAAGCGGAACATAAGGTTGATGGAAACTCGGGGATTGCGCCTACTCGATGAGCCCCGAGATGTTTGAAACCGATGGTGGGCTGTCGATGGATTTTCAGCAACCTTGTGAGTAGCGTATTACGAATTTGCAGCAAACTTTTGAGCAGTATGCATGGTCAAGAAAATACCTAATTGATGTTTAAGGATAAAGTACACATAAATCAGTCGAAGAGTTTTCAGCAAACTTATGAGTAGCTTCCCTTGTGAAAATATACTGTGATAGCTCAGATACTATGCCAAATGAACCATAGGACGGCCTTTGTGTTGCACATTTAGTATCTTCCATGGAAACCAAATTGATATACAGAGGAGAGTATTTGTTTAAATCGCTCCTTTTAATTTCAACGCCTACGCGATAAAACTTCGCAAACGGCGCAGATACCACGGCAGATCATTCTTTTGGACGGTAAGCACTACACCGGAACCATAACTCATGAAGTTTTGTATAATTTATAATCCCAAGTTTTTCTTCTTAAGGAGTATTCCTAGAAGTAGAGCTCATCTAGGGCTGATCGACCAGGCCGATGAAAAATACAACCTAACTGAACTTACATCTGGTCACTTTTACGTAGGAGGACAAAGCAACGTCCACCGCAATATTTAAAATGTTCTTTTGTGTTGCACATTCTGTCAACAAACAGTCCTTTGACAAATTTCGCTTTCCACCAGAAGGCAAATTAGTTCTGTCCTGACTCTCCACTGGTCGAGAATCACCAGTCAAGCGAGTTCGTTTCCCCCAAGGGGGTTGCTGCATACAGGCCTCCTCATTCAGTTGTAGAATAGCATAAACGAGAGATGCAGTTGAGTCTCTCGTGAAAAACCAAATTGATTTGCAAATGAGTGCATTTCTCGAAAACAATCCAATTTGGGTTCAAGTAGATCATAAGGTTGACGGAAACTCGGGGACTGTGCCTACCTCATGAGCCCCAACAAAGGCGAAACAAGTCGTAGGATGTCGAAGAGTTTTCAGCAACCTTGTGAGTAGTTTCCTTTATGAAAATATACTGCGATATCTCGAATATCATGCCAAATGAAACGTGAGGCGGCCTGTGTGCAGCACATTCAGTTGTAGAATATCATAAACGAGAGATTTAGTTGAGTCTCTCGTGAAAACCAAATGTGAGAATTACCATCTAAATTGTTGCACAGGTTGGTGGGAGTACAAAGGACTCTTTGAAGGGCTATGAAAACACTAATATACCAGAAGAAAACAGCAAGTCAACCTGAATTAAACAGAAGTATTGCTTGCTAACACTGGTGTTCAAAAAGCGCACGGTTCAACAGGTCCAGGGGCAAAAGATCATGACGTGTTACCAGCGCGTATTAAATTAATGAGGTTGACCCAGAAAACGCCCAATGCAGGTAGATATGAGGGATTGAACAAAGAAACGAAGGAACAGGAACGCCATTAGTGTTTTCTCCCTCAAGTGGAGAAACCCCTCCTGAGGTTTTGGATTTATCAAATCGGCTTTTCGCCAGAACAACTCACCCCAGACTCCCGAAAATAGCAAAATTTTTGTGAATGCAATAAATTGACGCTTATGTTTATCAAATACGTTTGCTTAAATAAGAGGATCAACATTCGGGTATGAATTCAGGCACCACCAAAATGATATTGCTCTTTTAAACACATAAGAAATCGTCGGACTACGCCTTGACATACGATACGAAATGAAACCTTGAAACATAACTTCACGGATCGTGCAAAACTGAGAATAGCACAAGGCAGTCTGATAAAAGTTGTTTGCAAGCAAGATTCATGTGCCATATTTATAGCATACGAGTATCCACTCAAGTCATTGGTCTAAAAAATGATCCTCTATTTTCCCTGTAAATAACGCACCAATCAGTGAGTTTCGGGGAGTCATCATCGTGGAGGTGAGCTCCTGAAGTGACGGCTGTTCGACAGTTTGACATGAATCTGCCACCACGAAGCAACCGGATCCAAGCAACATTCCTCAGTCGGGGAATATGGCTGTATATCTGTAAGATGCGTTGCACATATCACGTGTAGAAGTGCAACACGTGACCTTACGTCATTGCACCAACACTTGCCCAAAACCACAGTCTTCCAAAAACAGTCAAGATACAGTGAGGTCCTCTTGACAGACTGCCCAAACCATTAAATTACTGGTAACTGACATCAAACTATCCGCTTATAAAGCGTACCAAAATACGTCATTTTTTGGTGGCAAGTTGGACAGTATTCCACCTGCATTGAACGTTTAGCTCAATTTCTACACACTAACCACTCCAGATGGCTCAGCGGTCAGAGCGCGAATTTACTGACCGGAAGGTCTGTGGTTCGAATCCGACCTCTGTATCTCGACTTCCCCCGTCTAGTATTGGGCAACCTGGCAGTATCTCAGCCCTTGTGCTTCCTTCGGGTGGCATGGAAGCTAGGCACCGAAAGGTTGCTACAGCTGAACGATTTACTCCTGAGGCAGCAGGGTCAACAAATCTAAGTCAAAATGGTTAATCACCCTCTGGTTGGCTGAAAATCAGCTTCAAATCCTGTCACTAAATACGGCATGCGACATTTCGGGTCGACCGAATCAGCCTAAGCACGCTCTCCACGACGACGAATGTGAAAAAACATCATCAATGTAACGATTAGGGGCTTAAGTGTCAACTTACCTTCGGCCTGAATACAGACTCACCTTGTTTACTTTGGATAACCGACTCTGTTACTCAAAATCAGTCAGAATAAATGAACTTTCTGGTAGTCTTTACAGCTGTCGAATCCAGGAGATAACGGGGATGTCGTGATTGACACCGCTCGACTTGCAATTTTTTTATTGCTCTTGGTAATAACTATAATAAAGATCATCACCTCCCTTGGTGTACTGCGATTCGATTACGTCTGGAACTACTGAAATTGGTCTGATGGGGATCTGTGTTCATATCAGGGTGGTACGAGATTAGTTGTCTTGTAAGCCGAATACCCTAACCTACGATTATTCTCCCTACAGGTTCGGTACAGAAGACCAAAAGGGTCCTTGGTCGAGACAGTGTTTATTTTGACTTCCAACTCACCTGGCCTGTCAGTCGTCCTCTGGATGATCGCGACAAACTTGTGTTATCTGTGTACACAGTGCGGAAATTACCACCATGGAGGTAAGTTCATCGTATTGGTTCGCATGTAGACGGTTCGCTAAACACAGTTTGACAAGTGTAGCTTACTAGTCGATACTTGAGGACACTGCGAGTGAGAAAAATGGAAATCAGGAACCCCTTGTGCTTGGTAATGTTATACAACATTATAAAACATACGAAGACAAATCATCTATGTACCCGGTAGTAGCCACCCATATTTCACCCAACCGCCTCCACAAAATCGGGAAAAATGTGATCTGGCCCTGTTGGGGCTTTTGCGCTACCAGCATCTTTCAGGTTTGTTTGCCGAGAGAAGAAACTGTGTCATTCTGCGCTTGTAATTGCCCGTTTTCTAAAATGGAAGAGTTTTACTGCTTCGGACACGATTCTTTTGCTTCCAGTCTGCTTGGCACGGTCACCGTCAACTTGTACTCGCTCAATCGGGAGCCACGCCTTCAACTTCGTGAGAACTTGGTGGATGAGAATAACAGAGCCACCAGTGTGAGTCGTCCTTTATTATCGTTTATCTGTTGATCTTTGTGTGGTGGAAGCGTGACGATATTTTTTGTTTGATATTGAGGGGACTGATCGAAGCAACTTTAGGGAATTGGACGTTGCAGTCCTGAAGTGGATAAAGTTAGAAGGGTAACTCAGCATCATTGGTCCATCCGATGAGCTGAACAATGCAATTGCAAACGTTTCATCACCAATCAAGATGACAGATTAACAAGAAATTCTGGCGAAAGGANCGAAGACATCCCACAAAGATTACCTAGCTAGCCTAGAACACGTCCTGAAAACAAACGAAGTGTCCAAGGAGGTTAAACAACTCATCCGACAAACAACTGTACCGGTGATCACACGGAATAGAAAAGTGCAACTGTTTTCCAAACAAGAGTCCTAATAACACCAAAAGACAAAAGATGCATCACGGTGATAATGGACCGCTCAGATTAGATTCAGAAGGTTGGACAACTGCTAAATGGAACGACGGCCCACCCATGAGTCAAGCAATCAAGACCCAACTTCAAAACTCATCAAGCGAATTAAACCCGACGCTCAGGAAACTGCGAGCAACACACGAGATAGCCAGCCAGAAACGATGGAGAATGATAGCCGATGGGACCAACACGGCACAGTTCTATGAACCACTGAAGTTGTAGAAAGTGGTATACTCCACTTCGATGAAACGTTTCACTTGCGGCAACTCCATGTAACTAATTGGCAAAAGACTAATGGGGAGGATTGAAACACGCAATCAACAATGTTGGCGCTTTTCTACGCTAACCAGGTAATGTAAACATAAAAAGTGACGAAATCATGCTTTTATTTGATGTCAAAAAACCGTTCAGTTCAATCAATTACAACCTCGCCAGAGAATCTGTTATATCTGCTAATTCGTCAATCTGTGTTATCTGCTGCTGACCCGCTCCAGTGCCTCATGCCGGAGAAAAAAGGACTCACAGAGGGGAACACAACAGCTTTATTCCAAACAAACGATTGAGTGCGTGCGAGTGTGAGAGCGTGAGTGCGTACGAGTGCGAGGACGAAATTTACAATGGCCCCACGCTATTGATCCAGGCTGTTTGATAGGCGGTAGTGAACACCCATCAACATCGATCGTGCCTCTATGAAAAGCCTGAACGCTGATCACATTCAGTCGTGCTTCTGTGGCGTGCAAGAACACTCATCAGGTTTTGCTGAATCAATTGAATGATTGACTGTCCTGGATGCTTGCCGGCTTTTCTGTTGAGTTTTTGGTGGAGCAGTAGGTTCCGGGCGTCCTGAGGTTACTTTCAGGAATCTGGCCTTTCTGATAGAATCAATAGCAGGACCTCTTCGGAATAGTCTGAACATGACAGGAACAATGAAACCCGATAGTCTTTGCAATCTGTTGGACTTTTGCGTCGATACCTACCTTAGGTCTAATGGGCAAATACATTAACAGCTGGAAGGGCCTTCAATGGGATCTCCAGTGTCAAGGTTCATCACGGAGGTCGGAATAAAAAGATTGCAGCTCGCGATACAACCAATAATCAATCCAAGGCTACCGATCTGCTACATAGATGATGCATTTATCACCATAAGACTAGATTCAGTACACAATGCACAGCTCAAAACCACGTTTGAAGATATCCAGTTTGTAATCGAACCGAAGAGGAACAACTAAGTACAATTCTTGAATGTTTGCGTGTACGACATGGTAGATCGGACTCTGTAAACTTGTAAACTTGTAAACATAAAGCAATCAAATACTGCCATCCAATGATCCATAAGAACAGTTGCGTTCAAACCCTGTTCAAGAGGAGGGAAACATATTGTGGCGCCACAGAATTAAGGAATTAGAAAGATCTAGAAGTGTGTGTGTTTCAATCTTCCCCATTAGTCTTTTGCCAATTAGTTACATGGAGTTGCCGCAAGTGAAACGTTTCGTCGAAGTGGAGTATACCACTTTCTACAACTTCAGTGGTTCATAGAACTGTGCCGTGTTGGTCCCATCGGCTATCATTCTCCATCGTTTCTGGCTGGCTATCTCGTGTGTTGCTCGCAGTTTCCTGAGCGTCGTGTNATGAGTTTCGAGTTGGGTCTTGATTGCTTGACTCATGGGTGGGCCGTCGTTCCATTTAGCAGTTGTCCAACCTTCTGAATCTAATCTGAGCGGTCCATTATCACCGTGATGCATCTTTTGTCTTTTGGTGTTATTAGGACTCTTGTTTGGAAAACAGTTGCACTTTTCTATTCCGTGTGATCACCGGTACAGTTGTTTGTCGGATGAGTTGTTTAACCTCCTTGGACACTTCGTTTGTTTTCAGGACGTGTTCTAGGCTAGCTAGGTAATCTTTGTGGGATGTCTTCGACGTTGAAGTCGAGTTCTTTCACTGGAAGTTCTCGTTCAGGCCTGCTCGAATTTCTTTTTGTGGGATTCGACGTTGAAGTCGAGTTCTTTCACTGGAAGTTCTCGTTCAGGCCTGCTCGAATTTCTTCATTTTACTCTGACTTTAACTTGCACCGAATGGATTTATGTGTGCTAATTAATTGATTCATTTTTTGGTTGGATAAACTATGTGTTGCACGTAGTGAAGGAAAATCTCCCCTGACCTAAAGACAGAATAATCCCCGGTGAAATTCGATATCTTATCAATTTTCGTGGAAAAGTAGGCCACCTTAACTTTTCTGTCCACCTGAATAGCCCCGGAGGATGCTTTGAGTTACTCGAGGCTTGCGAAGACGTATTGTTTACGCCGGCTCGGAATAGACATGGCATGCAGTAGTTACGCACACATCCTATTGAAGTCAGTGTTGTTCTCTATTCCGGTGAACTCTACTTCGGCTGGATGACCTCACAGTTGTGTAGTAGGTCCCGCAATCAATAGAGTCATTTCAGGTTTTTCATACAAAGACGGTGAATTGTTGCTAAATTGTACACGGTAGACTGGTGCGGAATGGTACCACATGGTGTATCGTGCGGCTTGTCAGTTGGGGAAGGAATGATTTACAAATTTATGGAACGGATGGGAGTGAAAACCGACTTGATTCATTTCCAAAAGGCGGAAGTGAAGACCGTCTACATCGACTGAAGTTCACACGGATGGAATTTCAGTCGTGGTTCGTGGACGAAATTTGTCTACAGAGTCAAAAGAACAGGATAGATTCTACGATAGTAAACAGTCTACTGTTGCGTTCAATATCACACAACTTGTAGAAATTACATGCAACATACGTGGATTCCTTTCTCTGTTTGCAAGTTAAACGGTGAAGGAATTTTCTGTTCAATTTTCAACAAAATCGTCCGCAACAGAAGAGATTTAGTGTAGTTACGTTCCCGTACCGCCAGACGTGGTCTTAAATATCCCTTCAAGGGAGCAGGTAATCCGGCAGGTGTGCTTCGAACTTCACTACCTAGTGACTCGATTCATTCTCACACTGTTCACAACCTAACAATTTAAGGTTGTTTTTTCTTGTTTTTACTCAGATGATTATCGCATTCGAAATCGCTCATCAATCGCCGGATGGGCGAATCAGTGGTATCGATCAGCAAGAACTTTCTTTTCCCGTAACCCCTTTGGATTATGGCCTACAGGCCTATCCGGGCGACGAGAGAAGTGATCCACAAATCGAAGCGGGGTAAGAAAGTATTTGTCATTCAGTGTTGAAACGGACTTGTCTCTACAGCAGGTTAACATGGGAAATGTGATGTGACTGCGATATGCGTTCGCTACAGGTAATTACAGAATACATTCTGTAAAGTATTAACTAATCCACGGAACTCGTCAAAAGGCATTGCGATGAGAAACTTAAAGACCCAAGCGAAGGTGGAAAGACCAGTAAAATTTACCCATTTGAGTATCTATTTGATAAATACACGGAAAATTCCTGCATTATCCTTGCAACTGTTCTGGTTAAAAATTGATTTTATCATGCTCAGCGGAATCGGTTAAATATTTAAAAAAGATTCAAAAAAATGCAAAATGACATTGAATGGGTACTGATGAGGTTCACTTTCAGGTGTGTTACAGAACAAGGTCAATGAATTAGGCTACGAACCAAAAAATTTATCAGCCTCTACAGTCTACGGGCATCCAAGCTATTGCCTTCAATGCATAGCTCCTTCTCCAACTTCCCCCCACTTGACAGCCCACTGACAGTGCTGGTTTTATGCACCAATTTATCAGCTCCCGCCTGCAACGCGCAGCTACCTACCCCTCCCCCCAAACCATCGGTGAACGAAACTGCGGCAGCTACAACCACTGTACGACGAGTACGCGGTTATTACAGCTGACGATGATAATGATGATGACAGTCTACGGGGACGAGATGGCCCAAGTGGTTAGAGCGCGAATTTACTGACCAAAAGGTCCGTGGTTCGAACCCGACCTCTGCCTCTTGACTTCCCCTGTCTAGACTTGGGCAACCTGACAGTATCTCAGCCCTCGTGCAACCTTCAGGTGGCATGGCAGTTAGGCACCGAAAGGGTGCTACAACTGTACATCTCTTTACAGTCTACATGGACAACTAGAAATCAACACGTTTGGACAGTTTGTCTAATCTACTCAACCGTACTCAGGTGGTGAAATGGAATGTGTCATACTCGCAGTAATTCATGGGTACACCGGATATGTTGAAAACAGTACTTTCAGACTCAGTGCAAGACGTCAAGTTTGGTCGATCATCCCATATATAAGAGCAAATCAGCTGATTGGTTAGAACTCCAAGGGTCGTTTTGACATCCAACCACATCTTTTCCGCTGAGTGAGTCCATGAAATTAGTTGGTGTCTGAGAGAGTGAACAACAGCTTTGAGTCACTTAATTTGCTAACTCTATTGTCCATTCCACTCATCTTGGAATTTCGGTATAGTTGCGATCTTGATGCCCTTGTGGAACCATTTAAACAACAGGTCGGGAACTTCAAACACTGTGTAACGAGCGCGTTATCTTACAATGACCTCAGTGACGCGCGATAACTCATTGGAAACTTGTAAAACTTCACGATATCGGACATGTCACTCATCAGATTGTTGTCAACCTGATGGCAACCTGATGAGTCAGATAACTCTCATTCTATACCGGATGTTTTAATCCTACTGTGACCTTGATCTAAACCTTTGGGTACCATTGTAAGACGGATGGCAAACTAAGTGGCTGTATGTGCACACCGATAAATTATTGTCCATTCTGTTCGTCTTTTCGGCTACCAGTATGGAGAGAGCTCAGAAGGTGAGGGCGCGGCGATTTGTGACAGTGCAGTTCGTCCACCGCCTTCATACGTTGTCGACAATGACATCCCCGCATTTCGTTTAGGTTTGACAGAGACTCAGGGACTGTGCCTACCTGATGTGCCCCAAGGAGGGTAGAACCGGTCGTGGGCAGTCGAAGAGTTTTCAGCAACCTTATGAGTAGTGTGTTACGTCTATATATGTGTCGCGATATCTCGAATGTCGTACCAACTGAAACGTGAGGCGGCCTAGTGCAGCAAATTCAGTTGCTTAGAGATTTCATAAGCGAGAGATTCAGCTGGGCTCTAAGCAAGTCTCCCTCGAAACCAAACTGATTTTTCAAATGAGTGTATTTGTCGAAATCAGTCCAATTTGGGTTCAAGGTTGGGTGGAAACTGGAAACTGCGCCTACCTGATGAGCCACAAGATGGACAAAAACGGACGTTGGCCGTCAACCTTATGAGTAGTGTAGTGTGTCAGGAGACGTTTCATTCCGCACTTCAGTCACCCCCACTTGAGTGATGGGTGAATGTTTCAGGTTAGCCTACCAAGGATAGGTGGAGTAATGGAATGAAAATTAGGCGGTCGTGTTGACCTTATCAGTGCAGGCAACACTTTTTAACCCAGATGTCTTAAAAATTGGGAGAAAGAGCTTACTATATGTTTCTACGTAGAGTCATCATGCGTGACTCTAAGAACATTGCTGCCAAATCCTAAACTCAGTGGATCTGGTAGATCTATCTGCAGTGAAATCGTCTGTGGGTTAGGATAGAAGTCACGTTTTTGGGGAAAAAGAATGGATCAGAACCAAACTGGCAGGCGATAGTCAGTCTGGTAAGGAATACACGAACTACCTTACAGTCTGAATCAAAATAGTCACAGGCAAATCTAGACATAACTAGTCACTGCATTTTGTTATTATGCCTTTTTTTCTACTCAATTATTGTGCGCATCTTTGCGTTATTGTTGCATTATTAATAAACTTGCTTCCGATAAAGATTCGGGAGCCAATAGAAACCTCAGTTTTACAATGATTTGGCGTAATGAAGATTCCTGATGCCTGGTGTGGGATGATGTAAACCCTCGAATGAAACTTACGCGTCCCGGCGTCTACTTCGAAGTGCACTGACAGGTAGGGATACGCGCAGTTCGAGTGCACTGCTGGGCTGTTGTTCTGTTCGCCGAGCGTGGTACTTGCGTTTCAACAGTTTCGACAAGACACCGGCCGATTTAAATGCTGCAGTGACAACGGCTGTCGAAATTCTGGACAGTTGGAGAACCGTTAGCGAGACACCTGGAAAAGATGTCAGCGGACCACTGGATCTATGCGGGACAGCTTACTTTGGGTTCAGTGGAGAAGTTAGGAACAGCTCGTGGAGAGCTACTGGGATCACTAATTTCCGGTTTATTGAGGAAGTTGCATGCGAAAGTTGTGCTACAAAATACCATACCGAATTTAGGGTGGATGACACGTTTGTTACTATAAAGAAGAGCGAACCTTTGTGGATGAACCAACTACTTAAGGCGGGGTTTTCTGAGATCCACTTCACAATGGAAACCGGGGAGAACAACAAATTAGTGCTCCTAGAGGTACCCGTCACCAGCTCAACAGACAGCCAACTACAAAGCGAAACGTACAGAAAGGAAAGCACACGGATCAGATTCTGAAGTTTTGGTTGTTTCCCGCTACTCGTAATAATAAAAGTAGTTCAAATTAGCGCGGCGCTTGCAAGAGGCTATCGTTCCTCCGTCTTCAGACAGCACACATCTGACCAACGCGCTCTATTAAAAAATAACCAAACTCGTTGGATGTCAGGTTTGCAAACCATTTTTTTAAATAGAATGGAGAAAACTTCAAATGGAATCTTCTCTGGAGAGCGACTGGCTGTTTCCCAATATGTTGAGTCTGAACAGAGTGGACTGCTCATTAACTTCAAATTTCGATCGTTCGTACACTATGGCAATCCATCTATGTCCTTCACGTTTGTGCTGTGAAACTCGATATAACTGGAATGGCCTAAGCAACAAGTCGTTTCCTGAAGTCATTTCTCCATACGGACCTGAAACAGCGCAGGGGAACCTACAAACCACCCGATTCTTTGTTTTTATTGGTTCTGGTGTACAGTAATTTGCGTTAGTCCTAATTTGGTCCCTTGTTTCTCTCCGTGAAAAAGTTTGGTTTGAACAAATGAAGAAATATGTGTTCCAGCTTCGTATTTACCTTACCAGACGCCCATTAGGGGTCGCGTGCGGCTCGGTCATGGAAAAATTAGCTAACCACCAAACGAGAAAACCACCAATTCGATGCCAGAGTAATCACTTCGACGGTCCCAGAACAGACATATCCAATGACTGATTTGTTAAAGTTGTCACGTGTCCGCAGGGTAGGATCCAACCAATCAGAACACATTGATGCATGTGGCTTGATTCTGCCTGTAGAGCAATTTTTACGATCGCATTCAAACTCCTGATCCTGCTTCTTAGAAATGTAATTCACACAAACGGAGACAATCTGTATAAAACTTGTAGTGTTATTGAAACGGTAAATGAAACATATAGTGTATCTCATGAAACATCAGTTTTTAGCCGAGCTTGTAGCCCGTAGCCGGGACTCGGTGCCCCCAAGTTACTCACTGAGCGCTCTGAATTCATCTATCTGCAATGCCTGATGCGTTTTTAAGCAAAGCTATCCGGTGAGCTCAATCGTACCTAATAATGGAACCTAGTCTTGTTGCATTTCCGACATTTTTTGTGTCAGGTACATGAAGATCTTTGAACACCTCCATGAAAATACACCATACACTCATTATTTTCATGTATAATACTTCCACTGTCAGATAGTTGCAATAGGTGCTTTCACAAACGGTTATATCTTAAAGGGTCCTGTTGAATGAATCCATTCGACACAGGTAATTTCACAATGACGGTAAATTTTGCCGCTGTTCTGTTGTTGACAATGAACTAAAGCTATTTTTCATTCCACAAAACTGCCTTTTTTATTTTATGACGAATTCCACTCACAAATGCAACACACATTCACAAACACCATACTCTTTTTATTGGGCATCGTTTTAGAGAGAGTGCGCTCGACTTCGAAGATGAATACACAGCCTTGGAGCGAATGCAAGGAGATGGGGATGTTGAAGACCTTTCAGATGCATTTTCCGGTCCAGAAGCTAGGTAGTTCGCTATTTCTGCAGTATCCTTTCACCTTCTTCATTCCTAAAAACAAGTGTTTGGATTTGGCTGGAAGGCAAATCGCACGTACGCACTTGGGGATAAAAGTGGAGTTTCCAATTCAATCGATCGCTCATAACCGGCTGATCCTTCTTATTCATTGAGCTAAGAAAGTTCATTTCAGGATTGGTGAATTCATTGTTACCTAGAATATATAT